AAAATGTTAAGTTTTTGTTTCTTTTTTCTTAAAATATAGGAATGTAATGTTCTATAATATCTTATATTAAAAACAAAATACACATAAATTTTAATAATGAAAACAAAATTTTTATATTAAAACTTTTAATAAAGCTCTGGAATTTTAATAGTTATTATTTATCACAATATACACTGAACACAATATTACAAATATCAGAAGTACTAATAGACTGTTACAACAAATTGTGGTCATGGGGTGTAGTTAAAAGTCATTCTAGTCAGAATGATTCTGACTAGAATATGGAATAGAATTAAAAAATTCAAATTTATAGTTTGACATATATATGTATGTATGTGTATATATGTATGTATGTATATCTATATAAACATAAGCCTTAATTTAAAACATTATCTTCCATTCTCCTTTTAGGGTCTTATGTATGCACTGAGAGAGCCACTATTTTGCTTGCTTTATGATCAAAATGATCCCCCCCAACCCCCTTATGATCCCTGGAAACTAAATGATGTAATACAACTTTAATTTTATTTTTTATTATGGGATGGAAGTGGGTATACAGGTCTTGCTTTACCTAGGTAATTGGTACTAAAATGTAAATAGTTATAGGTTGCCACCCAGGTAAGATAGGATGATAACAATAAACATTATGTTTTTCCAAACCATCACAGGAGTACTATTTTCTGGGTTAGGACTGGGCTATCTAATCTCTCAGTTTGAAGAAAAGTAAGAAATTGTACTACATTTAACCTTGGTTTGAAGAGAAAACTTTATTCTCTAGCCATATCTAGAAACCCCTTTTAAGATCAAAACTCCTGGAGCAGGCAGGGGTCATTTCAAGACCTCTCAGCAGATAGATATCAGGGTAAAAACAAGTGTTAGTTGCTATCCGGGCGGCATTTGTTAATTGTACTTCTTAGTGTGGCTTCAGCTTCTTTCCACACTTTCTCTGCTTTCACATTTTCATCAGTGCAATTTCTCTACAGTGGCTGATCAACCAAAACCTCCAGCATTTATTTTTTACCAATTACAGAAATATACCTAAAATTATTTTTCTCTAAGAATTTTAGATTATGCTATTTTCTATGACATTTATTTAAAAATTTTAAGGTTAACTGATTATGTTTGAAATGTAAATGAGAACAGAACAATCTTCATATTTCTTGAGCTAGCAAGGTTGCAGATCATAGACTTTACCCAGGAGAAACCAAGTTCTTTATTTGCAACTAAAATGATCTTGTTTAAGATTCATTTGCTCTGCTTATTCACTATTGCCATATGACAAAAACTGTTTGGGTATAGCAGCTAAAGATAAACTAATCTTAAATATTGCTCCTTCTGGTCTAATTTAACAGAGATAATTTAGAAATAAAATCAGAAAGGGGAAGGGAAGAATGTCTATAGATTTTGTATTCTTCTACCAATAAATTCTTAATTTTTAATTAACATAGAAGAGAAGAAAATATCAAAGCTACAGTAGAAATTTGAATACTAGGAGGAAAACAGACCATATGCTTTAAAATAAGACTTATAGCCCTGGCTGGTACAGCTCAGTGGATTGGTGCCAGCCTACAAACTAAAGGGTCTCTGGTTCAATTCCCAATCAGGGCACATGTGTGGGCTGCAGGCCAGATCCCCAGTAGGGGGTGCATGAGAGGCAACCACACATGAATATTTCTCTCCCTCTTTTTCCCTCTCTCTAAAACAAAATAAATAAAATATTGAAAAGTAAAATAAAAATGGTGTGGTGTGTAATTTTTTTTTAAAAACAAGACTTATAGTACAACCCAGGGCTTGAATCACTAATTTGTTGTTTTTGATGAGTGATTCAGTACAATAACCATTTGAAACTTATGAATTCAGCTCTTTTAAATAAAACCAGTATTTGTTGAGCATGTTTTGTACCTTGTGAACTAGAGGATTACAGTTCAAACTAGAAGAGTAAGTTATATATGACACATATATCTAAAATTATCAGAATGATTTGGAAGAACTCATAGAAGCACCCCTGAGAAAATATTACTTGTTTACATAATAGGTTCTAAACAAAGAAGACTATTTCCTACAAGCCCATTAGATGCTCTGTGCCTAGTATCTCACACAGCGTTCAGTACATTTTTGTTCAGCTGAAATGAACTTATTTAAAAGGGCAGGGATATATTTTTTGGTCATTTTTTTACCCCTAGCACCTAATATGATACCTGAGACATTAATTAATAATAAATGCTGACTGAATATTTGTTTTCAAATAAATAAATTTGACTGTGTCTTCAGAATTCCATTTTGATGTTGAGCACGAGTTATTTTTCAGACTTATTTTGAGTCTTCCTAAAATTAAAGTTGTGTTAAAAAAAAAAAAGTCCAGGTGGCAGGAATTAGAAAACATGTGTGAATCTTAGGAGAGACTGCTAATGAAGAAATCTTTATGAGCTCATAAATCAGTGTATTATCAAAGTGTCTGAACACCATCTGCATTGGAGTCCCTTGCATTGCTGGCCCACTCTGGGGCTGTTGAATCAGAATATTGTGGGAAAGCAAAATTTACCGCCCCAAAGTGCGTCTCTTTAGCAAGAGGATTATTTCGGGCTCTGTGTGGTAAACTGGGGGAGAAATTTAGCAAGAACTCTTTCTTCACATTCCTCTCTGTGTCCTTTTTTCTCTGCATGGGTGGCAAATATTTGTTTATGAAACATTTGCTCTTTTCCATCACTGAATTATTTCTGTCTTTTTGCAGAACTAACTCATCACTACATGTAGCTGACTTTTCTGTGCCTCTCAAATCACCATCCCAACCCTTCACTTTGATAGCCATGATTCTAATATCCTAGTAGTCCAGGGTGGTAGGTGGTCACAGGCTGGGGAAAGCTCAGTGTCAGCAAAGTTCTGCTGTTTAGAGGCTTTTCCTTAGCTTTAGCCTCAAGATCGTGTTCCAGGTAACTGTACCAGAAATCTGAGCTTTGGATAATTGGTTTGATGTACACATATTTTTTATTTTTTCAGTTTTTTTGTTGTTCAGTTACAGTTATACCACCCCCCCCCCCCCAAATTGCCCCTGCCCTACCCACCCCAACTCCCATATTCAATCCTCCCTCCCTGCAACATTGTCTTTGTCCATGGGGACTTTACACATGTTTCTTGACTTGCCCCTTCCTCTTCTTACCCATTATCACCCTCCCCCCTCTCCTCTGATCACTATCAGTTTGTTCTTTATTTCCACATTTCTGTTTCTATTTTACTCACTTACTTGTTTTATTGTTCAGGTTCCACTTATCAGTGAGATCATATGGTATTTGTCTTTCGCCACCTGGCTTACCTCACTTAGCATTATGCTCTCCAGTTCCATCCATGCTGTCACGAAGAGTAGGAGTATCTTTCTTTCTTTCTGCTGCATGGAATTCCATTGTGTAAATGTACCACAATTTTTTGGCCCACTCATTTACTGTTTGGCACTTAGGGTGTTTCTAGCACTTGGCTATTGAAAATTGTGCTGCTATGAACACTGAGGTGCATGGGTTCTTTCAATTTGGTGTTTCAGGATTATTAGGATATAATCCCAGCAGTGGAATTGCTGGGTCAAAAAGCAGTTCTATTTTTAGTTTTTTGAGGGAATTTCATAGTTTTTTCCACAGTGGCTGTACCACTGTGCATTCCCACCAACAGTGTACTGAAGTTCCCTTTTCTCCACAATCTCATCAGCATTTGTTATTTGTTGATTTGTTTATGATGCCTGTTCTGACTGATGTAAAGTGGTATCTCATTGTGGTTTTAATTTGCATCTTTCTGATGGCTAGAGATGCCGAGCATCTTTTCCTATGTCTCTGGGCCCTCTGTATGTCCTTCTTGGAGAAGTGCATGATCAGGTCCTTTGCCTATTTTTTTTTAAATTGGATTGTTTGCCTTCTTGCTGTGGAGTCATGTGAGTTCTTTGGAGATCAAATCCTTGTCCATCATATCATTGGCAAATGTATTTTCCCAGATGGTTGGTTCCCTTCTGATTTTGCTGATGTTTTCTTTAGCCATGTAGAAGCTTTTTAATTTGATGTAGTCCAATTTGTTTAGTCTTTCTTTTATATACCTTGCTCTAGGGGACTTATCAGTGAAAACCTTGCTGCATGGAATGTCTGAAAGTTTCCACCCTATGTTCTCCTCTAGGACTTTTTTTGTGTCATGACTTATATTTAAGTCTTTTATTGATCTTGAGTTTATTTTTGTGTATCATGTAAATTGGTGGTCGAGTTTCATTTTTTTGCATGTAGCTGTCTAGATCTCCCAACACCATTTGTTGAAGTGGCTATTTTTACTCCATTTTATGCTTCTACCCCCTTTGTCAAATATTAATTGACCATAGAGATGTGGGTTTACTTCTGGGCTCTCTATTCTATTCCATTGATTTATTTGTATGTTTTTATGCCAGTACTAGACTGTTTTGATTACAGTGGCCTTGTAATACAGTTTGATATTAGATATTGTGATTTCTCCTACTTTGGCTTCTTTTTCAAAATTGATGAGGCTATTTGGGGTTATTTATGCTTCTATATAAGTTTTGAAATGTTTTCTGTATATCTGGGAAATATGTCATCAGTATTTTGATAGGGATTGCATTGAATCTGTAAATTGCTTTGGGTAATATGGACATTTTGATAATGTTAATTCTTCCAGTCTATGAACATGGTATATGCTTCCATTCATTTGTGTCTTCTTTAATTTCTTTCTTCAGTGTTCTGTAGTTTTTCCAGGGACAGGTCTTTTACTTCCTTGGTTAGGTTTATTCCTAGGTACTTTATTTTTCTTGTTGCTACAACTAATTTTTTCTAATTTCTATTTCTAATATTTCTTTGTTGGTATACAAAAACGCCTTCAATTTCTGAGTATTGACTTTGTATTCCTCTGTTTTGCCAAATTTACTTATGAGATTGAATAGTTTTTTGGTGGAGTGTATAGGATTTTTTTAAGCATAATCAATAAAATTTATTTAAAGATATTTTTAAAATACAGGGCTATCAAAAAATAGAGAACGCTTCACAAGTTTGTGTGTCACCCTTACGCAGGGGCCATGCTAATCTTCTTTGTATCATTCTAGTTTTAGTATATGTGCTGCCAAAGTGAGCACTATAGGGGTTTCTATGTACATTATCATGTCATTTGCAAACAATGACAGTTTGACTTCATTTTCCAATTTGGATGACTTTTATTTTTTTTCTTGACTGATTGCTATGGCTGGGACTTCTAATACTGTGTTGAATAGAAGTGGTGAAAGCAGACATCCTTGTCTCGTTTCTGATCTTAATGGGAAAATTTTTAGTTTTTGCCCATTGAGTATGATGTTGGCTGCAGGACCCTCATTATGGCCTTTATTAGGTCGAGGAATGCTCCCTCTATTCCCACTTTGCTGAGTGTTTGTTATCATAAATGGGTGCTGTACTTTATCAAATGCTTTTTCTGCATTTACTATAAATGATGTGATAATATGATTTTTGTGTTTCCTTTTGTTTATGTGATGTATTATATTTAGTGATTTGTGAATATTGTACCATCCTTACATCCCTGGGATGAATTCTACTTGGTCATGGTATATGATCTTTTTAATGTATTATTGGATGAGGTTTGCCAATATTTTGTTGAGGATTTTAGCATTTATGTTCATCAGCAATATTGGCCTGAAGTTCTCTTTCTTTGTTGTGTCTTTATCTAGTTTTGGGATTGGGTTGATGTTAGCTTCATAAAAAGAGTTTTGGACTCTTGGATTTTTGGAATAGTTTGAGAATGATAGGGGTTAGCTCTTCCTTAATTGTTTTGTCAAATTCTCCTTTGACAGTGTCTGGTCTAGGGCTTTTGTGTGCCATGAGTTTTTGATTCTGCTTTCCATTTCACTAGCTGTTATCAGTCTGTTCAGGCTTTCTGTTTCTTCTTAATTCAGTTTTGGAAGATCATATGTTTTTAGAAATTGTTCCACTTCACCCAGGTTTTCAAGTTACTTGGCATATAATTCCTCGTAGTAATTTCCTACAATCCTTTGTATTTCTGTGGTATCAGTTGTCATTTCTCCTTCTTCATTTCTGATTTTCTTATTTGGGTCCGCTCCCTTCTTTTCTTGATGAGTCTGGTTAAGGCTTGTTGATTTTGTTTGCCTTTTTAAAGAACCAGCTCTTGGATTTATTGATCTTTTGAATTGTTTTAGTTCCTATGTCATTTAGTTCTGCTCAGACTTTGGTTATTTCCTTCCTTCTCCTTGCTCTGGGCTTTGATTATTGTTGTTCCTTCAATTCTCGCAGATGTTGGGTTAGGTTGTTTATGTGAAATGTTTCTCTGTTTTTTAGGCAAACCTGTATCACTATGAACTTCCTCTCAAGACTGCTTTGGTTGTATCCCATAGATTTGGGACTGTTGTGTGTTTATTTTCATTTGTCTCCAGAAAATTTTCAATTTCTCCTTGATATCATTATTAAGCCATTCATTGTTTAATAGCATGCTATTCAATCTGTATGAGTTTGAATGTATTTTGTTATTTTTCTTGAGGTTGGATTATTAGATTCAGGCCTGTAGACTAAGAAAAGGCTTGATATTATTTCAATTTTCTTGAAATTGTTGAGGCTTCTTTTGTGTCATATTATGTTGTCTATCTTTGAAAATATTTCATGTATATTTGAAAAATGTGTATTTTGCTTCTTTGGAATGAAAGGTTCTGTATATGTCAGTTAAGTCCATTTGATCTAGTGTTTTTTTTCCAGTTCCACAGAATCCTTTTTGACATTTTATTTGGAAGATCTGCCCATTGATGACAGTGGGTGTTAAAATCCCCTACTATAAGTGTGTTGTTGTCTATTTCTTTCTTGAAGTTCTACAAGATTTCCCTTTGACATTGGGTGCTCCTATGTTGGGTGCATATATGTTTACAATGTTCATGTCTTCTTGATGGATTCTTTTCTTGAATATTATAAAGTACCCTTCTCTTCCTCTAAGATGGAGGCATGGGTGGAAACATTGTGCCTTCTCCCACAACCAAGTTTAAAAACAACAAAGTTTTAGCAACAAAAATGCAGCCAAACCACAGAAAATTGATAGCCAAACTTTCAGATGCACAGTTCAAAACACTGGTGATCAGGATGCTCACAGAACTGGTTGATTTTAGTCACAAATTAGAGGAACATATGATGGCTAAACTAATTGAAATGAAGGGAAATGTGCAGGAAACCAATATTAATAGAAAGAAAACTGGGACACAAATCAAGGGAGTGGACCAGAAGGAAGAAAAAAGTGACCAAACAGAAAAAGATGAAAAAACAAGAATTTAAAAAAATGAGGAGAGGCTTAGGAACCTCCAGGACATCTTTAAACGTTCCAACATCTGAATTATAGAGGTACCAGAAGGGGAATAGGAACAGCCAAGAGTGGAAAACTTATTTGAACAAATAATAAAAGGATAACTTCCCCAATCTGGCAAAGGAAATAGACTTCCAGGAAATCCAGGAAGCTCAGAGAGTACCAAAGAAGTTGGACCCAAGAAGGAACACACCAAGGCACATCATTATTACATTAGCCAAGATTAAAATGAAGGAGAGAATCCTAGAAGCAGCAAGAGCTAAGCGGACAGTCACCTACAAAGGAGTTCCCATCAGACTGTCAGCAGAATTCTCAAAAGGGGAGAAAGGGGCTGGAAAGAAGTATTCCAAGTCATGAAATCCAAAGACCTACAATCAAGATTGATCTATCCAGCAAAGCTTTCATTTAGAATGGAAGGGCAGATAAAGTGCTTCTCAGATAAGATCAAATTCAAGGAGTTCATCATCACCAAGCCCTTATTATATGAAATGTTAAAGGGACCTATCTAAGAAAAAGAAGATAAAAAAGATGAACAGTGAAAGGACAGCAAACTCAGTTATTAACAACCACACCTAAATCAAAAGCAAATTAAAAGGACAGCTAGATCAGGAGTGAACCATAGAAATAAAGATCACATGGAGGGTTAGCAACAGGGGAGTGGGAGAAGGAGAAGGGGGGAGAAAGTATAGAAAATAAGTAGCATAGACAGTAGGTAGAAAATAGATAGGGGGAGGGCAATAATAGTATGGGAAATATAGAATCTAAAGAACTTGAGACACGCGGTCATAAACTAAAGTGGGGGGAGTGGTGGGGGAGGGGGTATGCAGGGTGGAGGGGAATGAAGGGGAGGAAATAGAACAACTGTAATGGCATAATCAATAAAATATATTAAAAAAATAAAGTGCCCTTCTGTGTCTCTTTTTATGGCTTTTTTAAAAGTCTATTTTGTCTGATATGAGCATTGCTACCCCAGCTTTTTTTTTTCCTGTCCATTTGCTTTTAATATTTTTTGAAACCTTCACTTTCAGTCTGTGTAGGTCTTTTATTCTGAGGTGGATCTCTTGTAGGTAGCATATATGCTGATCATGTTTTCTTATTGATTCACCTACCATATGTCTTTTGATTGAGCCTTTAATCCATTTATATTTAAGGTTATTATTGATAGGTACTTATTCATTTTTCCTTATTTAACCTATGTTCCTCTCTTTCTCATTCCTTTTCATCATCTTCAAGCAGTTCCCTTAGCATATCTTGCAATGCTGGTTTGGTGGAGGTGTATTCTTTTAGCCTTGTTTTGTCTGAGAAACTTCTTATTTCAGTTTCCATTTTAATTGAGAGTCTTGCTGGATAGAGTAGTCTTGGTTGCAGGCCTTTGCTTTTCATTGCTTGGAGTATTTGTTGCCATTCCATTCTGGCTTGTAACTTTTCTGTTGAGAAGTCAGCTGCTAGCTCCCTTATCAGAGCTCCCTTGTATGTACTCAAGCACTGCAGGTGGAGCAGAGTATTTTGTGGGGGCAGGGCTATTGCTTCCCTCAGGAGGCTGCCTCTTGGAGGGGAGTGGTCTGCCTGAGCAGGATGGCTGCTGCAGTAAGGGAGATGACTCAGCACTGGGATCCTGGTAGCTGCTCTCTCAGTTCTCTCCCCAAAGCCTCTGTACCCAGTCTCTCTTCAAGTGTGTCTAGTCCATTCTCTCCCTGCCTTTGCTGGAGATCAAAGTGTCTGCATATGAAAATTTACATGTTGGTCCTTTAAACAGCTCTTTGAGTCTCTAGCCATCCATCTCTTGCAGAGAGCAGCCCTGCTGCTTTTCACCACTGGATGTTATCTGTGTATTTTTTGGGCTCTGCTGCTCTACCCTGAGGTCCCAGTTTAAAGTTTAGACCACACACTTCTCAGGAGGATCCAACCAGCTGTTTAATTTTTCTTCTGGCACTGTGGCCTGTGGGCACCCAGCCAGCCTTCTCAAGTCTCCAGCACACTCCTTACCAGTCAGTTAGTGCTAAAGATGATTATTCTGTCTGTCCAAGTTTATAAGGTTTCTCTCACACTATTGTTCAGTTGTTTGTTCTGGGTGATTTCTCAATAATTTAGTTGTAATTCCAGATTGGTTCTAGGAGGAGGTTGGTGTTACTGCCACTTGCTCTTCCACCATCTTGGATCTAATTTTGATTTTTCCTTTTGTATATTATTTTGAACTATGTTCTGTGAATTTCCTTGTTTTCCTTTGAAGTCCTAAACCCCTACCCCATTTTCCTTAGCTCATAAGAGCATGTAAGCCTTAATTGCCTGCTTACTTACGGGCCTCATATTGCTATAGAGGTCCTGTTGTGTAGGAAATTACATTTTTTTTCTCCTGTTAGTTGCCTCATGTCAATTCACTTACTAGATCACCCAGAAGAATCTAGAAGGGTAGAGGAAATTTTTTTTCTCTTCAATAATATCTAGGGTTAGGACTCAAAAACCAGTAGTTTTTCAAGGTCCTTAGGTGATTTTTTTTTACAGTAACATCTTGCTACTTAAGCTGTGGTTTGTCAGTATGTAACACTGACGACACCTGGGAGCTGGTTGCAAAAGCACAGGTCTCAGGTCTTACCCCACAGCTGCTGTATCAGAATTTGAATTTTGCACAATGTCCCCAGAGGATTCAAATTCACTTTAGAATTTGGGAATCACTACTTGAAGTTTCAAAAGTACCACTACAATCTTAAACTGACATTGACCCACATGCCTAAGGATCCATTTATCAGTTTCTGTCAGGACACACTCCCACTCTATTTCTTCTGCAACTGG